GACGCCACTTCTCCTCCTCGCCCACTGCCTCCACCCCTCCCTCCATCCTCAGAGGAGGAAGATCGAAGAAAAAACGCCATAAACAAAAAAATCAGCACTCCACGCGGATTTCTTGCATCCGCGCTGGGCCCCCCCAGCGGCGCCTCCAGCCCGCCCCTGGCGCGCTCCGCGCGCCAGGAAGGGGGGTCGAGGGCAGATCCAAGGAATCCGCGCGGAGCTTCAAAAGTTTGATTCTGGTTATGCCGTTTTTGATCCTAGAAGAGATGCCGATACCGATGCCCTCCCTCGTCACCACGACTGGGTTCTCCTCGAAGCCCTGGTCAGATCGCACTCCGGTGTTGTTGGTCCGTGGAGATGTAGATTGCGATTTCCCCACGGGTGCGGCGCCACTGCGTCTCCGGAATGATACGAGGCACGCTCATGAGGTTCCGATTGTCCCGGAGTCGGTGCGGTGCCGATTTTGCGACGCCGCGCGGTTGTTGTCAAGGTTTGCGCATCCCCGTTGGCCCATCCAGAAACGGTGTTCGGGTGAGTTGCAATGAGCGGGGCGAAACTGAGGAGCATGTAGTGGGACATTGAGGACTCAGGGGCAGCCGCCGACCCGAGGCTCAGAGTCAGCGTGGGCATTCCCCGGGGGCAATCCAGACATGCCGTCGCCCTCTTTCGAAGGAGGAGAACAGAGGAAGGGGGGAATAGGGAGGAAGAAGATGAGGACGAGCAGGAGGAGTAAGAAGTTGTAGGAACACGTTGCCGCTCAAGTCTGGTAAGCTCTAGACGTTTCACGTAATCCCACCAGCCCAACCAGAAACTATGCCCAGACGAGTTCCCTTGATCAGGGATGTGGAGGAGCACACTGTGTAATAAGGGGTTGGGTAAGATGTAATACCCCAAGAGCCAAGAGGGAGAGGGAATATGAAGAATCGGAGGAGCAGGAGGAGAAGTAGGAAGAGATGGAGGGAGGAGGAAGTAGGAGGAATAGGCGGATGAGGAGGAGGAAGAGGAAGAAGAGGAGGAGGGCGAGCAGAAAGTCCAGAGGTTTCATGATGCCTCTCGGAGTCTTCAGAGAGCTTCTAGGAGTCATCAGAGAGCTTCTTCGGGTGACGGTGACTTCAGAGAGCTTCTCGGAATCCTCTTGGGGCATCTTGGAGGTTTCTTGGCAGTCCACGGGGTCTTTTGGAGCGTCTCGGGTCCCTCAGGGGGACCTCTTGTGGCCTCTTGACGGTCTCTTAGGAGCCTCTTGGGGACATCTTGTGGGTGTTTTGAAGGGCTTTCGGTGCCTTTTGGGGACCACTTGGGGCCGTCTTGGGGCACCCTTGGGAGCCTCGGGGGACCGTCTTGGGGCCATATTTGAGGAGATCAATCAAAGGACGGGCCGTACTACATTGGGACCTCCTCCGAGGAGGCCAACATGTGGGCAACATGTGTGTCTGGGATGGCCTCTTGGAGCCTCTGGGGGGTCTCTTGAGAGCCTCTTGGGGGCACCTCTTGGGGACCTCTTAGGGCCTCCTGGGCACATCTTGGGGTCGTCTTGGGGCTCCCTTTGGAGCTTCGGGGACCATCCTGTGGCTATCTTGGAGGAGATCGATCGAAGGAGGGGGCCCCAGGAGGAACAGATGTAGCCCAAACCCTGGTAACCTCAAGGATGTTGGCCTTCTCGCCGAGGCCCCTTGGGGCGTCTTGGGTGCCACTGGGGGGGGCCTCTTGGGTCCTTTGGGGGTTTCTTGGGGGCCTCGTGGGGACATATTGGGGGGCCCTCTTGGGGGCCTCTTTGGGCCTCCTGGACGCCTTTTTAAGCTGTCTTGGGGCACCCTTGGGAGCCTTGGGGACCATCTTGGGGCCATCTTGAAGGGGATCGATCAAATGAGGGGGGCTCCTTAATTCAGCCCCCCCCAGGAGGCCAACATGTGGCCAAAACCATGTAAAATCGGTGATGTAGTGATGTTGGCCTTCCCACCGGTCCCCCCACCGTCCAGGTCCATGGGCAAGGGTAGGGGGAGGGGTCAAGACTCCCGCCCCGCCCGCAAGCCGTCTCGCTCACTCCCACCCTTCCTCCCAACATATACGTAGCACCCGAGTCTGGCCCGAGCCTCAGCATATTCAGCAGTCGTCTTTGGATGGGCAGTTTCTGGGGGCCAATCCGCCGCCGCCGCCGCCGCGTCCGCCGCCGCACCCGCCGCAGCCGCCGCCGCCGCCGCCGCTGCCCGCCGCCGCCGCCTCCGCGCCGCCGCCGCCGCCGCCGCGCCCGTTGCCGCCGCGCCGCCCGCCGCCGCCGCCGCCGCAGCCGCCGCAGCCGCCGCAGCCGCCGCAGCCGCCGCAGCCGCCGCAGCCGCCGCAGCCGCCGCCGCCAAGTGTACTCTGTATGGTTTTTTGGGCAGGGATGGTGGGGTGAGGCCGCATCGGGTTGGCTGCGCATGCTCCGAATTTGGAGGCAGAGTGTGTTTTGTTTTGTTTCTTACAAGGGATGGTGGGGGGGCCCTCATGGTTCTTGGTTGGCTACCAGTCGCCTGGGGGGTACTAACAGGGAACAGTGATCAAGACCCCCCCTTCTGCCCGCAAGCTGTCTTGTTCACCCCCACCGGGCCTCCGAACACATAAGTAGCACCCGGGCCTCGGCATGTTCAGCGGTCGTCCGTGGATGGGCAGCTGCTGGGGGCCAATCCAGACCCCGTGTGCGCGATGGGGCGGCGAGGTACGCCACGCGTTCCAGGCGCTCCAGGTGCGCCAGGCACCCCTGGGGCCCAAGCGCACCAGGCACGAATCGCGCGCCAAATGCCCCACGTACTCCACGTCCGCCACGTGCACCGCATGGTCCAGCCGCGCCAGGTGCGCCACGTCCGGGGCACGCGGCGACTGTGCCAGGCCCGCCCGCGCATGTCGGCCCCCACCATCCTTGTCGAAAGCTAGTGCACAGTCGCGGCGGGGAGGCCATCATGGTGTCTGGTGGCCTGCACACAGCAGGCAATATGCCAGCACCCCCGCGGTCCTTGTCAAACACCAATGGATTCTGATCGCGGGGCGACCGCGCATGATCCGGATTTAGCCGCGAAGGGTACTCTGTTTTGTTTTTGACAGGGATGGTGGCGTCGTGCGAAGCAGGCAATCTGAGGGCACCCCCGCCGTCCCGACCAAAAGACATTGCAAAGTGTTCGCGGGGCCCATGTGCATGACCCGAGATTGTGCCTCAATGTGTGTTTCGTAGTTTTTTTTTGCAGGGATGGGGGGGCATTGGTCCTGGTTGGCTGCCGCTCGCCTCGTGGAGGGGGTGTTGTTCCTAATGCGATGTCACGCCATTCCGCCGACCCCCCGTAGAGGGAAGAAGTCCACGGTGAGGCTTTGGGGTGCCTTTTGGAGACCGTTTGGGAGCCTCTGGGGGGCTCTTTTTGGCCTCTTGGGGCCTTTTGGGGGGTTCTTGGACGCCTGCTGGCGGTCTCGGGGGTCCTTGCGGGGCGGAGGATTAGAACTTGCAGTTTCAGTTGCCCCTCTTGGTGCCCCTTTTGGGCCTTGCTGTGGCCCCCGTGGACCGTCTTGGGGTCCTCTTGGGCAGTCTTGAGGCCTTCTTGGGCCGTCTTGGGGCCCTCTTGGGGGCTGCATGGGCCGTTTCGGAGCAATATCGGGGGCTTCTTGAGCCGTCTTGAACGCTGTTTAGACCAACAAGCGAAAAGCGAATCTGCTGAAACTGCACGTTTCTCTGAAAGACCTTGACAATGTTTGCTTCTTGGGGGCCCCTTTGGGGGTCCTCTTGGAGCCATCTGGGGGCGTCTTGGATGCTTCTTGGGCCGTCTTGCGGCCATATTGGGTGTTCTTGACGCCTCCTTGGCGTGTTCGAACCAAGCCTGGGGGAGGGGGTGCTCACACATAGGGAACGGGAAGAGGGGAGACGGAAGAGGAAGCTCCCTAGGCCACTCTCGCCCTAACGGGCTGATGGGATCTATGGGAGGAGGAGCAGGACGGGAGGGGGGAGGACGGCGACGACGACCACGACGACAACGACCACGACGACGACGACCATGACGACGACGAAGACTACGATGACGACGACGACGACGACGACGACGACGACGACGACGACGGCGGCGGATGCGGCGGCGACGACGACGACTGGAGCCAACCATGAAGGGCCGCTTTGGGCCGTCTTGGGGCCCCCTTGATGCAAATTCGGAAGCTCCTGATGCCTTCTTGAGGCCCTCTGGGCGGTCTTGGGAATTCTTTTTGGAGCCATCCTAGATGCCATCGCCTATGGAGGCTCTGTTGGGACTCTCTTGGGGCATTCTTGATCTTTCTTGGGCACTCTTCGGGATCCTGGAGCCGCCTTTGCCCATGGGCAGCAAGACGACGAGAATGCAACGTCAGTTCTGAAGGGCTTTGGGACCTGTGCCATATTGGCCATCTTTGGCCTTCTGGGACGAAGTTGGAGCCATCCCGGGGCATCTTGGACACACACCCCCTCGCGAAGCCTTGGTCCCGGCCCAGGGGGAGCGAGGGGTAACCTCTCCCAGAGGAAGATGATGGGAAGAGCTACCTCTCTGTTCGATCATGGCCCCCTTGTTGAACGAAACGATCAAGCGTTTGGGCCGAAGACTGCCAGAAACCACCGAAGACCGTCCGACGACCGCCGAAGACCTTCCGACGGCCGCCGAAGACAACCCAGGGCCGATGAGCAACACGGGGTCCATAGTCGAATACGTAATCTCTTCGATCATCCTGCGCCCACAGGGCTGGATAGGAACCCAGACCCGTTTCCTTCCATCGCAGCGTAGCTCGTATCTGCTTCGGTTTGGGTCATACCTATGGGTGCGTGCAACGTAGCGCGATGTTCCATGTGCCGTCCTTGCAGGTCCATGCGCTACTCTCCTGTCCCCAAGGCCAACATACCCCCTCCCCCACTCTTCCGGACCCTCGACCACTGTAGGAGGCATGCCAGCCACCCTCGCTTTGCCCAGGCAGGCAGGCAGGCGAGCGAGGTTGCCGTACGTACCGCAGAGCTGAGGAGCAGTCGGGAT